TATATTTGTATGTTTTTGTATTTGTTAATGCTTCGTTAAGGTATGTGTTTGATAATGAAACCACATTTTTTACTGCAACGTTTTTAAATGTTTGGTGGTTACATGAAGTGAGTTTTTGTGTTGTGTGTTATAAATTTATATAAAAGTTCTAAGTAGGCACGCATGTGTATGTACACATAAATAACGAATTTTATATATTGATTGTACGTTTAGTGAGATTTATACCTACAGGTTGTGCGCCAAATTAAGTGCGTGTGTTTGCGTAATGTGTGTGTGTTTTGTATGTGTGTGTGTTTTGTGTGTGTGTGTGTGTGTGTGTGTGCAAGCTTTCATGTTCTATATTTTATATGTAATATAGGTTATGGTGCGTTGTTTATATATGTATGTGTGTGTGTATGTGTGTGTGTGTGCGCGCGCGCGCGTGTGTGTGTGTTTGTGTGTGTGTTTAAGTTTGCACGGGACGATGTTGTGTGTTGTGTGGCATGGCATGCATTAGTATGCTAGGCCATGAATTTTAAAAATGCCTATGCTCGCTTCCTGCATACTTTAGCCTTAAGAATTTTGCCGCGTTTTTATGTTTAAATTCGTTTTTGTTACAAAACTTTGTTGTTTGTGGTTCATGTTTTGTTTTTCTTTTTGCCATGCACCTCCTTCTCTTGATATCATTCAATCTTCGCTCTCGCATGCGTGCAATAGAAATTGCTGGTGGCACTTCGGCGTTCAATTCATTACGAGCGGCATTCAGTTCAACATGCATACTTAATCACACACTCACACACACAAACACACACACATATACACGCATTTATGTAATTAAGAAAAAAAATCATTTTTAAATCAACGTTAATATTTCTATCGATCTAGATTAAATAAAGAAACACATGGAACTGAAGAACTAAATTTGTATAAAAAAAATTACTTAAAAAACTAGGCAAAAATTAAAAAATTCACGTCTACAGACTATACGGAAATATAAAATTAAAGACCTAGCCCGTGTAGTGCGTACCTGCACATGCCTTCGTCAAAAGAACGACAATTTCGTTGAAAACAAAAAAGCACAAAACTCAAAATAAAGACCATCCACAGCAAACATTTCACAAAAAAGTGTGAAATAAAAATTTAAAAAATTGAAAATATACAAAATTTATTCTAAATAACCGCTCAAAAAAGAAAAAAAAGAAAGCATAGATGAATGAAACGGTTGCACGATTGCAAGTGAAGTATTGAGTTAGTTGTATGATAATAATCATAGTGATACAACGAGTGCGATGGAATGTAGACGATGTCTGCGTCCGGTCTGCAGCGCACGAAAGGAAGAAGTTTTTTAGAGTGAGAAAAAAATTAAAAATTAATGCTTCGACTGAGGTCTTTTTTTTCTTCAATGTAAATTTAGAAATTTTTGTTTTTTTGTACCTTTGTTGAATACAGAAAGTACACACATAAGCACACGCACACACGCACATACACACACACACGCACACACATGCGCACATACATACACACACACGCAAACAAAACAACGCATGCATTAATGCTCTGGAAGAAGCAAAAAAATTTCAGAAAAAGAAAAAATTTAATCCGAATACGAGGAAGAATTTTTTTTTGAGGAAAAAGAAAATGTTCACCGCCCAACTTTGCAGGCAGAATGTTTTTCGCTCCGAATTATATTCTGCATTTTTATACAAAAAATTTTTAGTATTGCAATAAAAAAATTTGTATGAAAAAAATGTATACAAATTTATATTAAATCTTTCGATACATTGAACGAAACATTGAAGAATGAAGTGGCATCCAACAACAACACAACATTACAAAGTATCAAGTGAAACAACATCCACATATAATTAGTATGTTTATGTTTGCAGGAAACACCATTAACAATTAACAACATACATACGCACACATACATACACACATACATACATATACGTACAAACATACATACAAACATACATACATTCACATACACCTACATACATAATGTACAAATTTAGGCGTAAAAACTTAAAACTTGAAAAGCACATTCAAACAATCGAAAAAGGAAGAAAAAATGTATAAAAAACGAACACACAGAAAAATGAAACAATTTATACATATATTGTTGTGTACATGTTAAACCCAGAATATGAATGTAACCGGTAATCCTATTAGGCTTTTTATTATGTTTTCGCTGCTTGCTGTTATAAAGATGCCTCAACGTCCATGTACTCACGTGTGCATGTGTCTGTATGTGTTTGTCTGAGTATGTGCGTGTTTGTGTGTGTGCGTGAGAGAGAGAGAGGAAAAGAGAGAGAAGTGTGAGTTTGTTTGTTTGCTATTTTGTATGCAAAGTATCATCCGTAGTTAACTGTTTGAGCACGATACACACACACAAGCGCACACAGAAACACACACACAAACACACACACAAACACACATGACAATAAATACTTGTATATGCCGTTATGCACATTTTTCGCATTAACACATCAATATTCACAGAAAATGCCTGCATGTTCCATGTTTTTATTTTGCTTGAGCTTTCCGTCAAAATTTTTAAATAAATTTTTATACAGGTAAAACAATGTTAGGTTGATTATACTAGTTAATGTGTGCAAGATTTTTTATGTGATGACGTGTATCGCTGGTTTAATTGCTAGTGTTAATGATTGTATTGCACGTTTATGTGAGCTGACTGTATGTGCATGTATGTATATGTAAGAAAGTATGCGTGTTTATGGACCTATGTTTGCATGTGTGCGTGTGTGCATGACGGAACATAGGAACGCTTCCTGGCATGCGTTTGATGACGTCACGTGCCTAATTTGTTGGACCAACAAATAAATATAGACCGGCGAAAACACTGAAGAGTTGTGAGGTTTTGCAATTTTGCTGCTGAAATTATGAACAAATTTATCGATTCAATGCTTTTTTTATTTACAAAACGTTCTCAGGGCTATGTGAAGCTCATTATGATTCTACTCATGATTATTAAATGTTATAATTATTATTAATTTTAACATTTTAAATAGAATTATTGAGCAAGAAAGCAGGCTGAACGTAATAGAATTCGTATAAAATTCAACAAGCCTGTCTTCAAGTAAGAAACTTTCCTTTGAGATAAATGTCATAAAATAAAAGATTCACACACACACCCACAAACACAAAAACGCACACACAAATATACAGACACACAAACACACACACAAACACACACACACATACACGCATATAATGACGGTAAGGTGATGATATGTAGCCACATATCGAGAAACTTTAATGGCTCATCAGCAGTACCATCACATCAATTACATGACTGGACACCGGTGATTAGCTTAATGTTAGGGCTGATGATGACGGTGGTGATGGTAGTGGTGATGATGATGAGGAGGAAGGTGATGATGATTGTGATGAAATAATATTAAATAAAATAATTATTCATAACAATAATGCTCTTAGTCGAAGTTTAAAAATAATCAATCAGTAAAATAAATATTGAAAATACATCCGCGCACATACAGACACGCGTATACAAACATACAAAAATTCAATTAAGAGTAAAACCTGCGCGTAAAACATAATTGAATAAAAGTATACTATAAATCTTTTAAAAAAACACACACACATACTGTGCGTGTGCGTGTGTGTGCGTGTGTGTGCACATAGTAGGGTAATTAAAATTGGCCATGCAATAAAATAAAATTAAAGAGCACTAAAGTTTAAAATTAGAAATTTGAATATAATGCAGGCCTCAATTCAAACGACTCGTACACAATATTTTTACTTCGAAACTATAAAATATGAAGCTCCTTCCTTAATTGCAGTAACACGTACGCACACACATACACACACATATACACAAATGTACACACACAGACATACACACACACACGTACACACACACAAACACAAACAGACGGAACCACGGGGCTACATTGGGAGAAGCTTAAACAATAAAACTGAAATAAAATTCGCGTGTAATGCATTTTCAATTATATTATAACTGCATATTCAGCGCCAACGATTACATCAACAACAACAACAACATCAACATCAACAACAACAACAACAACATCAGCAACAACTACAACAACAACTTTAACAACAACTTTAACAACAACATCGACAACAACATCAACATCAACAACAACATCATCAACAACATTTACAACATTAACATCAATAACAACATCAACAACAACATCAACAAAACGATTAATAATAATTATAGCAACAACAACAAAAACAGAAATAACATTACAACATAAATAACAACAACATCAACAACAAATGCAGGAAAACGACACTAAACTTTTGCTTACATAACGTTGCCGTCATAAAAATAAATTAGTTGCCTTTTGAATTAGTTGAGTATGTGCTGTTCGCTTGAGTGGAGGATCGTGAAGGTGCCAAGTAAAAGAATGAAATGATGGATTGATTCAGGGATGAATGGATAAATGGATGGATGAGTGATCGGTAGATGAACGAGTGGATAAACGGATGGTTGAGTGGATAGGTGGATAAATAAACAGAAAAATAAATGAATGCATTTTGAGGATACACATTTACTTAAATAATAGGGTATGTAGAAACAGTGGCAAACACAGAAAAAAGCAGACTTACATTTACACACACACACTAACACACACACACGACACACACACACATGTACACATTCAAAAAAATAGACAGACACAGACAGACAGACATACAGACAAACAGACAGACAGACAAATACTGGCATATCAAACCACAAGCGACCGAAGCTTCAGAATGACAGACAAGCCATACTGCAACTTAACATTTATCACGCACGAGCGTTCAAATCATCTTTTTCTGCCTCATGCTCCTGTCTACGGTGCTGTTGTTGTTGTTGTTAATGTTGTTAGTGATGAGGTTTTTGTTGTTTTTGTGTTGTCGGTGTTGTTTTATATGAATGTTGTATTATTGTGTTGTGGTCAATTTTAATTGATTCAAAGGTTTTTATTCATTGTTGTTTTTTTTCATTTTTATTGTCACAATCAATCAATGTTGCTGTCATCAATGTTGTTGTTTTTGTTGTTGTTTTTGTTTTTATCGCTGCAGTTGTCGTCGTTGGGTAATCTTTGTCGCGCGTCTTCTACGCGTGTCAGTGATTTCATACGCATGAATGCGTGTGTGTGTGTGTGGTATGTGTGTGAGAGAGAGTGTGCATGTGAGTGTGTGTGTGTGTGAGGTGTGTGTGTGTGAGTGATGCGTATGAGGTGTGAGTATGTGAGAGTGAGGTGAGTGTGTATGTGAGTGTGAAGTGTGTGTGAGGTGTGTGTGTGAAGTGTCGTGTTTTAAAATTGTTTGTTGTAAAAATAGATTGAATATGTGCGTCTGATAAAAATAAAAAAAAAATAATGTGGGTGCGTTGTGAAATTGAGTGATATCTCCGTGTATTGTGTGGAAAAGTAGTGTGTGGACATTGTGTTTGTGTGTGTGAATGTGTATGTGGGTATTTGTGATGTCATACGGTGTGTGTATGATGTGTGAAAATGTGTGGGAAGTGTGTGTGTCGTGAGGCATTAAAAGAAGTTAGCCTAGTGAAGCGAATGTTTACTTTATAGTTGTTGTTGTCGCTGTTTTGATCCAGTTTTTGGTGTTTTAGTTCGTTGTTTCATCTGATGTTGTTGTTCGTTCGTTTTATCTTCTCGTTTAGAATCCGCAGTATCTTTGGTTTACGATAATAATGCTTGACGTCGTTGTTATGTTTCATGTTTTTGGTTGATGTGTTGGTTGGTTGTTTCAAAATTGTTGTGTGTGAAGTGTGTGTGTGTGAGTGTGAGGCTAAGATATTTGTTAGCGGTTGAGATGTTTCAATTTTTATATCATGTTCTACTCAAAGTATGTTTGATCAAAAGTGAAATTAATTGCAAAACCAAAAAAAATTTAACCAAAAGAAGCAACACAAAGAAAAACGCAGAAAAAAACTAGATACCGAAAAATCTTTTTATAAATATTTTATAAAAAAATACTTTAGTTATGTATCTAAATGTAACGCTAACCATAACGCAGTTCATTAGAATTGTAATTTTTTCCGTGATAAACAGTAAATTTTCAGTTAAGTCAATATTGACTGATTCCAGTGTCTTGGAATCGGAAGAATTAATTTAAAAGTAGTAACAGCAACAACAGTCTTAGCAGCAGTATTAGTAGTAGTAGTGCAGCAGCAGTAGTAGTAGTATTAGTAGTATTAGTAGTAGTAGTAGTAGTAGTAGTAGTAGTAGTAGTAGTAGTAGTAGTAGTAGTAGTGTAGTAGTAGTAGAAAAAAATGTAGTAGTAGTAATAGTAATTATTTTAACAATAGAAATAATAAAAAAAGTCACGACTTTCCATAAATATTATTATTATTATTATTCCTATTATTATATTCATTGATTTGAAAAAAGACATGTATAGTACGTGTGTGGTACGTTAAGCTAGCCATCAATCTATATTAAAGGTCGCACATGACTGGCTGGCTAGGATTACAGATGGTTCGTGCCGCATGTACTTGGTTCAAAACCTGCTCGTTCCCTCGAGAAAACATGATAGGCTTCGGTGTTTTGTTTGTTTTTTTGACCGTTTTTTATTATTTTTTCGTTTGGATTTTTTTTTGTTGTTTTTGTTTTTTGTTTGTGTTTGAGTTTTTTTTTTTGGACATTTTTAGGTTGCCTTATATTAGGATTTTGGCAGAGAATCTCATCATTCTATCTAGTTTATAAAGATAGGCACGTCTCTTCCAACTAAATTATTCATTATTGTGACAAGTCAGAGATGAAATTAAATGATAGAAAATAACCATGATTTCACATCCAAATAAAATGAACGCGTCAGCACAGAAATAAACAAACACGCAAACATATATTACAACGGCAACAACAGATAGGTATACAACAAGAGACAACATTTAAATTATAACAAACTAGCAAAAAACAACAACATACAAAACAACGACGTCAAGAAACAACAACATGACAAACAAACAACAACTCCCTCTGATAAGAAAAACAACAACGCAAACAAATACTTTATACACATCCATCAACAAACAACAAACAACAACAAATAAACAGCAACAAACAACAAACAAACAAACAGCAACGAACAACAACAAATAATAACTCACATACCTTTCTTGTTTAGATTAGCAAGAGGATTGCAGTGCTTGAAGTGGAATTGAACCCGGGTCAGACCAGCGCACGGTTTTGCGTAGGAAATGGCTTGGCCGCAGTAGCCTGTACTCATGTCCTTGTACTCAAAATAATACGCGTCACGTTTCGGACACTGGATTGGTACCGCTGGGTCTGATGATGATAATGACGGTGATGACGATGATGATGACGATGACAATGGTGATGATGATGATGATAACAATAATGATGACGCTGGGTCTGATGATAATGATGATGATGATGAATGTGAAGATGGTTACGGCGATTTAGAGACAATAATAATAATTTAAAATGATTCATCTAGAACGTTAACGGCTAAAAAAGCTCAAGCGGTAAGATCATCATCCTCATACTCATCGACAACAATTTCACTCATATTCATAATCATCATCATTAGCAACATCATCAGCACCATCAGCGTCGTTGTCATCACCCTCATCAGACCTCTAACTAAGATATGTAGTTGAGTTTCAACTCTGATCTGACTGCAGACTGTCTTCAAATTGCTAGAGCTCGCGCAGAAACCTAGTGTTGTTGTTGTTGATGTTGTTGATGTCTTTGTCGTTTTTGTTGATGTTATTTGTGTTGTTTTTTATGTTTTTGTTGATGTTGTTGTTGTAGATGTTATTAGTGTTGTTTTTTATGTTGATGATGTTGTTGTTGATGTCATTGATGTTGCCATCGTGATGTTGTTAATTTTGTTGATGTAGTTTCAAATGTTATTGTTGCTGTAGTTGTTAATGCAAACTTTGTTGCAAGTGAAGGTCACTTTAAAAATTGATGTGCTTGTGTTAGCGATTTTTTTTCTCATGTCGAGATGATAATGTTTAAAAATTTCATTCAATTGTTTAACCATTTAACTAATTAATTAGTCAATTAATCATTCAATTAAGTAGACATTCATTCATTTATTAATCAATTATTTAAAAGTTCTGATGGTAAAAATCTTGAGGTGGTGGAAAATTTGAAGAAAATGGAGAAATGACTAACTCTCTTTGTACTGTATGATGTTCATGTGTTTTCGCATCATCAGCAGACACTGGTAGCAGTTCTTCTCTCTTGTGTTATTTAGAATAAAAAGAGAATTTCAATAAATGAGTCAAAAATAAATTGATCAACTTATTATGGGTTATAAAATATAAAAAAAATTACGATCACTTATTATTTTTTACAATTATAATTTTTGAATAAATATATTTTAAAAGTTCAACGTGCTTTTGTTTTTTATTTTCAGTGATGTATTATGTGACGATGATGAGGATGAAGTTGATGCAGACGATGATGCTGATGATGATGACAATAACGATGATGAAGTTGATGATGATGACGACTTAAATGATGGTGTCGATGATGACGACTAAGATGTTCATGATGATGATGATGATGATGATGATGATGATGATGATGATGATGATTGATGATGATGATGATGATGAGGATGCAAAATCTATAACTTTTGAAAACGTCGATTAGGGGAATAAAATGGACAAATACCAAGGAAATTGGCTCATCCAGTCTCAAATCAGAAAACAAAAATGTCACTGGGAAATCCCCAAGCAATCATGTACGATTAACAAACAAGATATATATAGAAAGAGAGAGAAAAAAAAAGAGAAAAAAGGATGAAAGAGAGAAAGAGAGAGTGAGAGAGAAAGACAGGTAGATAGAAAGAGGAGAATGAGTTATATGTATAAGATAATTTGATGACGATTACGATGATGTTGTTGTTTGTGATGATGAAAGAAATAATAGCAGGGTAACGTAGAGCTAGTCAAGCAAACAATGAAACGGAGTAAAAAAATTTGGGAAATAATAAATAAATGAAAAAAAATGAATGGACAAACAAGATGAACGATTGAATAAACGAACGAACAAACACACAAGTGGGCAAACATGAAAATGAACGAACAAAACGAAGAAACATATGAACGAACGAACGAACGAATGACTGGTTCTAACAAATTAAATTTAATAAGTTCTTTTCACGGAAGTCGCCTCATCAATCAGTCAGGAGCAAAATTTTAATGATCATCGTAGACATAATTTATAATAATTTTATCATTCGAATTATAATAATAATAACAACAATAATAACAAGCCTAACAATAATAAATATTATTGGTGTTATTATTACTGCTACTGCTGCTACTACTGCTACTATTACAGCAACTACTACTACTACTTCTACTACTACTATTACTACGACTACTGATAATAATAATAATTATAATAATAATTAAAATTTCAAATGTATTGTTATTGTTGTCGGTCTTGAGTAACATTTGCTACTTCGATGAATCGGTTCGTTCATTACAACTAATTAAATGATCGATCGATACTTCGTAAATCTTCTATTTCAAACTTTTTGTTATCTCACTTAACTTTTAGTTTCTAGATTTAATGTGTGTGCGTGCGCGCGTGTGTTTCTTATTTTTTGGACAACTTAATAGACAATCTATTTTTTCTCCTAATCCATTTTTTTTTTTGAAAAACTGCCTAACTATAAAAATTTTCAAGGCATTTAATGTTTTGATGAATTGTAAAAATCCACATGCAACAAACACGTACATGCGCGCACGCACACACAAACCAACATTTTCGTGTTTTCAGGCATACGCACTTATACAAATAAATACAAACCTATACAGAGATTTAACAAGTGATGTCTCATTTGAATACAAACATACGCAACACAGAAACATGTATTTGTTTGTGAATGTATGTGTGTATGCGCGCGTGCGTGCGCGTGTGTGTGTATGTGTGAGTATATGTACAAACATATATATGCAAACATCCACACGTCCTTACATACAAATGATATAATGTATGGAATAAGATTAATAAACATTGTTGCAGTATTAATAGGACAGGACCCAGGCAATTTCATTCTGTAATCCTTTAATCCCGAGCTCTCTGTACGTGATCTGAGAGGCAATTTGTATGTGTGTGTTTGTGTACGTTAGTGTGCGTGCGCGTGTGTATGCGTGCGTATGTGCGTGTGTTTTTATGCTTGAATGTTTGTATGTGTGTGTTTGAATATGTTAGTGTTATTTAGTTCGTATTTATAATATATGTAAGATCATGTGTATTTCTAATTTTTTGTCCTTCTGACATTTTGTAAAATTTTGGCCATACCTCTCCTCTGTCAAAGTTTTCCAGATCCATTCAAGACGCCCGAGACAATTACTGCTACTACTACTACTACTACTACCACTACTACTACTACTACTACTACTACTACTACTACTACTACTACTACTACTACTACTACTACTTATACTACTACTACTACTACTACTACTAAGAATTACTACGGTCAGTGCAAGTTTAGCACATATACTTTTAAAAAAGTACTCTTGACGACCTGAGCCACTGAGTGTTTTCTATGAGGTCGGCCTGTATTTGTATCACCTCACGAGTTTATTGTTGCTACAATGAGGTTCTTTCGTTACTCTATCAATAAATTTGTTTTTTGTTATTTATATTTTTATTGGTTTTATTGCTATTGTTGCTATTCATGTCGTTTTATTGTAGTTATTTTCGTTGTTTTTTTTGTTATTAATATAGAGTAAGGATTAAGAGATTCTGCGCGTTACTTGTGAAAGCAGTCTGGCTCTGCCATGTTTTGTTTGCATGCGAGCATACAAAAGACAAATTAATATACAAACATACAAATACAAACACAAATATAAAAACGAACAAACATACAAACTAATTTACAAGCATACATATAATAATATACAAACTAACTGATAGAAATTAATACCCAAACATGCAAATACCAACATGAAAACTTACAGATACAAATACAAATTAGTGTGTGTCCGTGTTTGTGTGTACGTGTATGTTGGTTTCTATATAAAAGGGTGTACTCTAAAACATTATGTATGCATAGACGTGGTTGACTTATTTTAAGAGGAAGAGACAAAAATACCGAAAAAGCTTCTTACTGTACTTTTTTAAACAATTCATTCCGTCTTCATGTATTTTTTTCATTTTTTACTGTTTTTTGTTTGTTATGATGTTTTGTTTCATTAATCATTCAAAACTTGAGAAAAAAAAAATTATTTCATAAAATGTCAGAAAAATTAAAAATTCATGCTAAATGATAGTCAGTCACACACACGTACATCACGTACATACATACACATACACACACACACATACACACACACACATACACACACACACACTTTCATTAATTTATGTACATTTTATATTATATATATATATTTATTTATATTTACAAAGAGTATAATTAAAAAGTAAATATAAACACACATACATATACAATCTTCAACTATAACTAACAGAATATGTAAAAACGAGTTTATCCATGCATGCATATACACACTGCAAAATACTAAATCACACTGATACATACAAATAAAATCAATAGAAGGAGAGAGAGAGAGGGAGAGAAAGATAGAGAGAGGAAAGGGAGAAAGAGAGAGAGAGAAAGAAAAAAAGAGGGAGTGAAAAAGAGAGAAATATATACAAAGTATAAAAGTGTATACAAATATATACAACATCTTTTAAGTATATACAGTCTTATATATAAAAATACAAATGTGCATACAAAAAAGCATACAAAATATACAAAACATACATAACCCTCACACATTCCATCCTTATCTCTCAGGCAGTCCACCCCTAATCAAACAACATAGTCGCATAATCCCGCGGAAAATTTCATTAGCAACCGAAGAAAAGAAATGCTGGTGAGATATTGAGGTTCGCAAGTAAGGGTTGATTTATTATTATTATTATTGTTTATTATTATTGTTATTATTGCTATTTATTATTATTACTGTTTATCCTGTTTTTTTATTATTGTTGTTTTTTTTATTATTCAGTTTCTTATAAATGTTATTTATTTTCATTTATGGCTGGCTTTGGGGCGCTGAGATTGTGTTAATTTACTTTGTTGGTCATGTTGATTGTAGTGCTGTTGTTGTTGATGTTTGTTGTTGTTGATGTTGATGTTTTTTGTTGTGGTTGTTGTTGATGTTTTTTGTTGTTTTTGATGCCGTTGATGTTGTTTATAATGTTGTCGATGTTGTTGTTGTTGAGGATATTGTTGATGTTTTGAGCGTTAATATTAAGATTGGAATGTTTTTTTTGGTGATTTTGTTGCTGTCCATTCATTTATCCGAATTCATACATTCGGTCATTCATTTGATTATTTTGCATTCAATTATTCATTAACTCATTCATTCACCAATTCAATCAGTCATTCACTCATTCAATCATTCATTCGTCCATTCAATCGTTCATTCATCAATTCAATCATTCATTTGCCTATTTAGTTATTCAATCACCCATTCAATCATTCAATCACCCATTCAATCATTCCTTCACTCGTTCAATCATTCATTCACCCATTCATTTATCCCAGGGGTGGAACCTTACTCATAATGAAATGGTCATTTATCATATTCCTGTACCGGTTGGCTGCTTGGTCACCATGCTGTCAGTCTCTCAGTCTCTCTGTCTGTCTGTCTGTCTGTCCGTCTTTTTGTCTGTCTATTAGTCTGCTTATTTATCTTTTTATTTGCCTGTCTAATGGCCAACAGTCTGTAATTCTGTCTGATTGTCTGTCCGCTAATGGCAAACTTTACTAAATTAATTTTGGTCTTCATATGTCTATTTATATTCGCTTATATACGTGTACCTGTAGTTGTATGTTTTTCTACGCGTGAGTGTATGCGTGCTTGTGCGTGCAAGTGCTTATTCTGAGTAGTGTATAATTGAAATGGATGTAATTGTATGTGAATTTAGTGTCGTAACTTTTGTACTCTTAAAGAGTTTCACATTTGATTTTTTAATTGAGGAATGTTTGTTTGGTATACTGCAATTTGCAACATAAATAAGGTAGCAACGTATTTTTTATTATTAAATTAAAATAAAGAAAAAATGTGTAATCATAAAAATCCCACACACCTACACCTACACACACACACACACACACACAACACACACACACAACACACACACAACACACACACACACACA